AATTACTAGCTAACTAAAAGCAATTGGGCAATCAGAAGGCATCTAAATTACCTGCTCTGCACTGGGCATGGAACCATGGCATGCAAGCAAAAGAACTCTGGTTGGATCACCCAATAGTGGATGAGCTTGAAGTTGATCTTTCAAAGAATTGATGTCATCCCAACCAGTCATAAATACTAACACAGCGCCCGGCCTTTCTTTGTGATAAATATGACAGAGGACATGCTCAATAAGATTAAACCCAATTGAGTCTGGATTCCAACACGAAAGTGACTCCCTAGCTCTAGGATTATACTCCCTAAAATCAGCAGCCATAAGAGCTTCCTGTTGTTTCAAATCGAGAAAAAAGTATAAATTTCTGAAAGAAGAGAGTCGAGAGAACATGATTTGATCATACAAAGAACAAATACCTCAACAGCTGAAGCTATCTGAGTCTTCCTTCTTTTGAGACCCTGCTTCTGCATTTTCCACTGCTTGTCTTGCCCATAATTATCAATTTGATTATATGGTGTCAACCTATACCCAGTTATTTCCAATATATTTTCTAGATAGTGACTCCGGACAGGGTATGTAAAACCCTGATGATAACAATATCATAGAATTAGCAATTGGATCAGATTTTTTTTTTTTTTCTAAAAAAAAAACAGGGGGTGGGGTGGGGAGGGATTAAAAACAAGTATGCAGAACACAATCACGCGATGTCGAAAATTTACATTTCTAACTTACAGGAATGTGGATTGTTGGAGCACCACCAAAATAGGAAGAAAAAAGGTCGGCATTTAAAGTTGCACTCATCAAAATCAATCTCAGTTCTGGTCGGCGACGAAGAAGATCCTTCAGTACAATCAGAAGAAAGTCTGCCATAAAATTCAGATTACACTAAGAACAGAGAAAATATGTAAAGAAAGAAGACCATATAAATTTAAAAGTACCTTCATTCATTCCACGCTCGTGAATCTCATCTACAATAACATGAGTTGTGCCTTTTAATTCTCTGTCAACCAATAATCTCCTTAAAAGGATACCAGTAGTACAAAAAAGGAGACGAGTATCTCTCCCTCTCATTCCCTCAAGGCGAACTTTATAACCGACCTTCAGAGAAAGTGATTTACTAATCATATAAGCATCAGAGAATGAATTTATTGGTTTGAATCAGAGAGAGAAAAGAGGCTTACTGATTCTCCTATTTTTTCACCACGCTCAGCAGCAACTCTCTCAGCAACTGATATAGCAGATATTCGTCTCGGTTGGGTACAGATAATACTACATTCAGCTCCTTGTGCGGCTTCAATTTCTGACTCTAAGATATATTGTGGCAGTTGTGTAGTTTTTCCACAACCAGTTTCACCAGAGACAACCACCACCTATAAAACAAATTTAACACATTAGATAGCAGATAACTCGAGACTTGCCTTAGAATCCTCTGTATAATTTTCCTTAAAGCTGATTAAATAATATCAAAATGATATAAAAAACTTCATTATGAACTGTTTTCAATGCAGGGACAGTAAAGTGAAGGCCGTATAGGGGGGTCAAGACTTTAGAGTCCATGTAAACATCCTGTCAGTACCACCAAACCTAGGTTCTTTTGTACTGTTTTCAATCCACATTAGTGAGTTTATTCGTTTCAAGACCCACACTATTTGATACAGAAAAGGCTGGGTTTAGTTATATCCCAGTGATAAGATTAAACGGGATTTGCTCGTCTTCCCTCTGTTTAGGTTAGAGGCCACAGGACTCCACTATGGAATTCATCACCCTTTAAAAGAGCTTCAGTCCTTCAAGACTCCAGTAAGAGCAATAACAAAAGAGGGGAAAAGAATATTCCGAATTAATTGGAATCTAGGGCAAAAACAATAATACAAAGCACTATAACAGAGGAGTAAGGTCTTCAAAGTCCCAGACCCAATTGGACTTCATTCCCCTTGGAAAACCAATTAACCTACGAATATGTAGACCCAGGTTAAAAAAAAAAATCACTGTGTTGTTCCAATAGAGGCTAAACATACTTGAAACACTTCATTGACTGAAGGTTTATCTGATTACATGCATCAGATAATGTACCATCACTTATATTTCCTTTCATTTCAGAGATATAGCTATCCCGCAATGGTTGGGTACAGTTTCCAAAACAGCTCAAATCAGTGTTTTAGAGGCAAAATCACTGAGAGAAGCATTCCACAAGTCCACTTGCCTCACAGCCAGCATTGCACATATGCTCGATAAGTTTTGATGCACGATGTTTTATAAATTTGGGGGTGTGCCATAAAGTTACAATATAAGACAGCAAGTTATCAATTAGTGGGGAAAAAGGATATGGAAGAACAATTGAAATTCAAAAGGCTCGCAATTTATCTTGGTTAAGTGGTGTGAATTTATGATAATTTGAATCTATGTTTGGGGATAATCGGCAAACAACATACCTAACTTATCAGCGACAATTACATTATTTACATAGATGATATGAAGCACTATGGAGAATTATCTTCTAGCTTTTCGACTTGAATTTAGAGAAAACTAACAGAATCATGTGAAAGAACATATATTGTCATGTATACAGAACATCATTTTACAGATACCCCTGTAAAACATCAGTTGTCACTCATGCAGATTACAATACCTTGGATGACATTTTATTTTAAAATCTTGCTGAAATAGTAACAGAAAACAGGGAAAATAACGAACATCGAAAACTGAAATATGAAAAAGAACGAGGTATAAGAGTTTTCTGTTACTTCAGTCCATATGTGTATAGAATTCATAATTACACCCAATTCCTTCTGCCTATCGCCCAGTCAGAGACCAAAACCACCTATAACACACTCTCGATATGGGAGCCAACAACAGTAGGTTAAAAGGGAGCAAACCACCAAATATTGTAACTTCCTTTAGTCAATATTGCAAGTGATGACCGCAATTTTGTTAATGATGAGAGATTTGTCCTAGCAGCTGTGGTTACTAATGTAATATCGCAGGTGACGACCCGGCAATATTGCTTTGGTTTCAAGGGTGGAGGGATGAAAAGTAGCACAAAGGACTAATTTTTTGTCATTTTTCATTATTTCAGTCGTCAACCAACTTTTGTGATTATAGGAATATTTTATTTTCTTGCATGAAAATACTAGAAAATCATACTGCCATTCACTCTATCCTGCAAATATATCCATGTCATTTCACGACATTCAGTTTTAGACAAAATTACCTATATAAAAGTTAGTCAAATAATAAGATTAACAGGGTGTGGGTGTCCATATGATGCAAATGGTAAAAAAAATTATGATCAACACGCTAAATTCCTTTTGGCTAAAAGACACAGTGCACAAAATAATTAAAAAAATCAAACAATCAAGCACAAATGAACCTCTTTGAGAACAATTAATTGAAAAATGAGGAACCTGATTTTGGGAAACGGCATGCAATAATGCGTCTCTCTCTTTATATGAGGGAAGACTTTTTCGAAATTCTAGCATCTTCTGGCCTTCTGGAGATTCCTGTAAATAAGAAGCGGTCGAAATAAAAATCATTTATTACTTAAATGCTCCAACGAAACATAATGCAACAGACCAGCGTCCTATTGTTTTCAGCAGTGAATTCATGTCACAATTGATCAAAAGTATTCTTGAATACTTCTAGCAATCTCAACATTGAAAAAGGCAAAAAATTATCTTTAAACAAAATTGTGTTTCGTTCCAACTATCACAAAATCAATCCGCAGAACAAGTACGAAATAATGACAAAATAGAGCACGTAATATTACGAGTCAATAGAATATGGATAGTACTAACTTTCCAATCTTGTTGTTTATTGCGCATATGCAAGCTCCTCCGCTTAATAATTCTCTCAGCTATGACACTTTGGGTTGAGGGCTCCTCTTGCTCATCAAATCCTTCACCATTTAATGGACTCTGACCCGTATTGGACTTTGGGAACGAACCATTCACAAAATCTTCCTTGTTCACAGCCTTCCTAGAAAGATGCGCTATGAGATGAGAATTTACCATCCTATGCAACCCGAATGGTAACACCACCTGCAAATACAATAAAAATGGTCCATGTTATCAATAATATATTCAAATTAAAACCCAAGCTAAGAAATTGAGTGGGATGAAGTGGAAGTATTTTATGGCCACATCTTGTTTACAAAACAAGTGCTTTTGAAAAAGTAAAAAAAATTATGTTTCTAACCTGAAAGGAAAAAAAAAACACTTAGTAAAGTATCAAAAGGGAAGCATTTCAAAATCACATTATTCTTTCCTTGCCACAAAATGTTCTCGAACGGTTACAAAGAAATGCTTTGGATAACTTTTTTTTTTTAATTACTAACATAAAAGGCAAAATAAAATTAAAAAATTCAGTAAAATAGAATTTGGTAAATACCTCCCTCTGAGGACGCTTGGTATCCAAATCTGATCTATAATTTGGGAGAGGGGCTTTACTGAACACAACTACTTTATCATACTGACGACTGCAATAGAAAGAAACCTTTAGGTATAATTCCAAATAAGTAAGAGATATACACTAAATACCCTTCAACTACCTGTGCAATCCCATTCTTGCAGCAAGTGCTGAAAGCTGCTCAAAATCACGTCGGTCTTTTTTCTCCCTCGATACAATTTCTTCCTCATTTTTGCAGCGCACAAGTGTGGTCAACTTTGACCTCCAGTCTTCAACATTATCAAGGGTTGAAGAACCCTGAAAATCAGAAATAAATAGTTTTCAAACTACTGGGTACAAAGCACAATCAAGATTATCAAAATTCTACCAAGAAAGAGCTCCGTTATGAAGGCTAAATGAAATTCCCATGTAAGGATTTCAGAGTGAAGGATTTGAAATCTGACAAAAAACTAAGCTCATTTGGAGAAGTACAAGATACCATACATTTGAAATCCTTTAGAACCGCTTTAACTCATTTTCTTCATCAATCATTTTTGTGTGGACTTCAAATCCACCAAATATCTCAGTTATTTCAAGTACTTAAGCTCGAACTCACCCCTCAAAACAAAATATCACCATCCAAATGCAACCTTAACCTTACTAATAATAAAGTCAGAATTATAAATAAGTCGAAATATGCATAATTCAATCTTACCAAATCATTTTTACTAGGTCCTACTTTAGGAAGCATTTTTGGGTTCCAAAACTATGTTTAATGTGTTCTATATATCGATATTGACAAAGTAAACTTAATGAAAAATAACAAAACAAGAAAGAGAAAATGGAAATATAACCAAAGAAAAATACAATATTTTTACACTTCTGAATCCCCGAACCCGACAATTGAAATATGAATTCCCCAACACGAGGCGACAATTGACAACAATCGAGAAGGAAAAATGGTTACCAATTGCTTAGAAGAAGAGTGGGACTCAGTATCAGATTCATCGTCGGATACATAATCGTTGTAAGCATAATACCCCAAATTCTGCTGATAAAAATGCGGCGAAGAAAACTTGGAAGAATTATTTCTATTGCGCCTCTGAACAACGGAAGAAGAAGAAGAAGATGGAGAAAAGGAAGCAGAGCAAGTAAAAGCAAACCCCCTTAGAAGTGTGTTGCCATGGGTTTGAGGGTACAAACTGTGGAGCCTGCGGTATGTAGTTGCTATAGATGACAAAGATTTAGGTGGGTGTGCGAGATGAGCCAGAGACATGGCTCTGAGCTTCAGCTTCAAATAATCTTGAATAAAAATGGAAGAGAATGTCATGGTTAATAATAATTCATGAATACTGTTTGCTGGTTTTAGAATTGTGGTTAGGGTTTAACGACGACGGAAACAGGTGGTGGTTCGGTTTCTTTCTCCTCTCACTCTAACTTCGTCTTTTCCTCTTTTAATACTTCTAACTTCTATGGGTAAAAAACCATTTTTGCCCCCTGGACTTTGGGGTATTTTGCAAAACTTACAAAACTTCCACATTTATACCTGAACTTAGTCGGTTGTTGGGCGTGGCGCCCCTTATCAACGTTTCGGCAAAACAATGACCCTATTGTCACACATGCGGTTTGAGCATGCGAATTCAAGGGTTAGTTCGTCTTTTCCAGTACACTTTAAGTTTTCTAGGACTAACTTTTGTGTCCCGGCTATTTTGCTCATCTTTCTGATCATATTTTTTTTTTTGGATTGTGAAGTTACCAATAAAGAAAAATTCTGACGAAGGGGCCTAATTTGAAGGTAAATTTCGTAATTACAATTATGGCACTTCTCTACTATGATTTGTCCCGTCAATCGAAAAAATTGAAATGTGAAATATGTGATTGGATATGACACCTTTGCTCGTTTTACATTCTTCTGTTTGTTGGATTATTTACAAATTAATTTTCTAAAAATAACAATGTTCTTCGTATAGCTTCTTTCCTCAATCATGGTCTTATTTCTTGTAATCGTTTCTAGATCACGATTCATGCTTCACATTCAATTAACTCACAATGTTAGCCTGTAAATTTGTTTGTGGGCCGGCCAAAATCTTCAAAATGTCGACACTCTATTTGGCTCAAAGTGTTTTTTCGTTCATGATTTTTGAGATGCCGGTTCTACCCTTTTTGTGCTCTCTTAAGGTTTTATTGCAATTTTAATTCATGAATATATATGTCGGTTCTACCCTTTTTATCCGCTACGTATCATTTCTTACTCTAGAGGAGATACGTATACCTAGTCTTGCAGAAATGAAGAGGGAGTTTGAGAGGATGAAATTGATTCTCGAAACAAAAGACCACCTTATTGACCCTCATATGAAAGCCTATCTTTTACAAGAGATTTTGCTCCTCCTTAACAATATAAACACTGCCGCCGATTCTTCTACGTCCGAGCGACAACATATCTACCGATGCGTTCACATTTTTCATACTGTAATTTTGAGCAATATTTTTTCTTTTCGTATTTTGTGAGTTTTAGTGAGTTTGGCGAATCAGCTTGACATGAACTGTTTTTTTTTTTTCTTTTCTTAAATATATCTTTAATTTCGGCTAGTAGCAATATGTTGTGTTAATTGTAGCAAATATAAACTTGCAAATTAGATAATTATGTATTATTCTCAACTAGCATATATTTTAACTTAAGTAACCATGATTTATAAATGGGACATGATAAATGCGGTTCCATTTTTACGAATGCGGTTTTAATTTTTAGGCTTAAACAATCCGTTTTTTGTATATCCACGCCCAAAATGGATGTGAAATATGGAGTAAATTGAATGTGGAAATTCTTTATAGGATGGCTATTTCCAGATTGTAAGCCATGAAATTTACTATTTTGATGAATTATATGAGAATGCAATTGCCTTTCTTTATGCATTTTTTTATTGATGTATGTTAATCGCACTTGGAAACCATGAAGAATCGTTAGTAGTTTCACTAGTTTTATATACTTCATTTATGTTTAACAAAATTTCGAGTACTTTGGTCGAATTTAATCGGGAACTGAAATGATTTCGATTGGTTCGAAATGTCTTCGAATAATTCGGTGTTGGTCCTTCACATGAACGATGCTGACTACTAAACTCTTTCATTTGCATGCTAAAGAAAATATCAGTAAATATTACATCTTACATAAAGGCAGGTGATAAAGTTGTTTGATCATATTTACCAATATCAGAGAATCTGTAGATCTTGCATAAATTGGTGCTCAAATTCGAAAAATAATTCTAAATGCCATTACAAGTTATCTATGTACGTAGTTGGTTGAATGAGTAACTTCATTACAAGTATGGAAAAACAGATTTTAGTCATCCCGTTATCTATGAATATGTTTTCCTTACAAGTTTTTTTTCTGGGCATTGCCCTACCTCACAACTATATCCCAGTGTTTGTATAGATCAAGGAAATGAAGAAAACGCTTCTAATTTTTTTTAAAGAAGTACAAACAATTCGAAAGCGTGTGAGTGCACCATCATCTTTAGAAGCCGCTATTCAATAATATTTGTCTTACTTTCTAGTCCGGATTTTTTTATTTTTTTTACTATTTTAACACAGTACTAATTTTGATAAAATGAAACCAGGTCGGATCATTTAGAAGATAAAGTAATCGCGAAAGAGCTTTTTAGCGATGGTCTTGGGTTGGTCAGTCCTTGATTTTTTTTCTTTTTTCATACCTAGGTATACTAAATTAATGGCTCAAGGAAGTTCACAATAGAATTTATGGTGTACATTTTATATCTCGCCAAATGTCATTTTGCTGCCAGCTACGATTGGTGCAACTGTTAATATGTAAAATTAGTTGGCATTGTCATTGGATATGAAGCAATTTATTAGAGATCGATATAATCAATGCTAACCTTATACCAGATTTACTGGCGAAGTTTCCCACTTATAAATTTTACCCTCCCCTCCCTACTCCCTACTCACTACTCCCATTATACTTTCTCACACATTCTCTGCATCTCTCACCCTTGTTCAATTTTCGATCCCCATCTCCACATTTTCTCTTATCAAAGGTTCAAAATCGAGGAGTTTGTGATCTGATTTAGGTGATTTTACCTCATTTTGTGTTTGAATGATGCCTATGTTTTTATACTATTTTTTGTTGGTTTTCTTTTTTTTCTTAAACTTGATCAACTGAGTGGTCTCGATCTCTCTTTGGCTGTCTAATTTTCCATCACTTTCATGTTTCATTTCATGACTTACACGATATCTTTTATTTTTAGATTAGAAAAGAACACGTGTTTGTTGTCATCTTGATTTTGAAGTAGATTTTGGACTAGTTTTTTTATTCCTCATTTTGGTGGTTGTTTTAGTGGTTATGTTGTACAAACTAACAATTCTGGAAAGTTTTTGTCCATAAATAAGGTGGGTTTAATCTCTGCTTGTATGATTACTTGTAATTTAAAAATAAAAAATAAATTATAAGTAGAATGGAGCAATCCTTATGAAGAAGGGTGTTGATATTTGCAGAGGGACTTTTACTAAATACAGCGGAGTCTTTTTCATTTAATTTTTTTTTTGAAATTCTCTCTCCTAATCTCAAACTCTCTCAAGACATTCGAATTTTGGAAAACATTTCGACTTTCAGTCCGTAGCAAACGAGGCTCGATTCCGATAAAAGCGTATGTTTAGGATTAGATCTAGGTAAATTTCGAAAAAAATATATATTTTGAACTTCCCGTTCTCTAGGGCACGAAAACTTGAAGATTCTTCAAGCAATCGTAGCAATCGTGCTCTGCAGAACGGTTGCTTGAAGAACTTCAAGTGTTCGTGCCCTAGAGAACAGGGAAGTTCAATTTTATTTTATTTTTTTAAATTGTTGGGGTTTCGTTATCTACATAATGGGGAGTTCAAATTTTTTTGAAGCCCCCGTTCTGCGGAGCACGATTCCTTGAAGATCTTCAAGTTTTCGTGATCCGCAGAACGAGAGCTTCAAAAAAATTTGGTTTTTTTTTTTTTTTTTTATATATACTTTTTAAATATCGAACTTTTAAATAATTTGAAAGTTGAGATATTACTACATAGGTTGAGATATTAAACCCTAAAAGTTGAGATATTCAACCTCATAAGTTGAATTAAAGATGCAATGAATCTATGTGGATCCAATCCGGAACGGTCTAAATTCAATCCACATTAAATCCATTCATATAGGTTGATTTTGGATCCGGTTCCTTTTGTATCCAATCCACATGGATTCGGATCAGATCCGGTCCAAGTTGAAAAATTGCCACCCCTAACTTTAACCATGGTTCCACGTTATCCCTATGTTACTGTTAGGATCTCCAATTTTCCTCCCTTTATAATTGTTATAAGCCCTTTTTATGTCCCTTCTCTATTATCGCTATTTTCATTCTTGATTTGCCACTGTTTCTTCTTCCCATTGTGATCTTGATTTGCTTTCAAAATCGCATGGACGCAACGTGTTTTTGTTCGAGAAAACTAGTCATGAAAGCTTCATGAACTGATCTGAATCTAGGAAGAAGATACACTACTTGCGACAAGTATCGGGTAAAAAAATCAATCTTGTATCTTTTATTTGTTGCGATTGTTATTCAAGCACGTTTATTGTGTAAACTGATCCTTATTTCCTTATAAAAAAATCTTCATAAACTTGGAGGTTGTAACTATTTTGTTTGGACTAATCCTCCAATGTGCGAAAGATCCCGACAAATTATACATGAGTTACTTCGCAAGATTACTAGACAAGAAGAAGAGATGAAGAAAAAACAGATGTTCTTGTGGATGACACTGTTTTTCTCATGGTTTAAGTTATATCTCGTCATATAGAGATGGTAAAACGATGAACTTAATGTTGCTAGTTTTGGTGTGTGGTTTTGTCAATTTTGTTGTAGTGGAAAATGCCACACACTCTGAACTCTGTTGTCGTGAAAAATGTTGTAGTGGTTTTATCATTTTTGTTGTAGTGGAAAATGATGTAAAATCCTATATACTCTGAATTGTTGTACTTCGAATATATTTCATACATTGTGTATTGACCTTGTTATTGAAATCATTTCATGTAATTTAACGAAAAAAAATGTTACAAAAACTGTGCATCTTCATAGATTTGCATTTCTCATAGATTGTTGAATAAATTGTTACAAAAGATGCAATTTTCAGATTACAAATTGATCCAAATCTAACAAAAAGATAGAAAGTTCATATATAAATTGATCAAAGTCTAACAAAAGATAACAATTTTCAGATTACAAATTGATCCAAGTCTAACAAAAATAGCAAATTTTTAATACACAGTGATCCAAGTTTTCAAAAGATGGCAATTAAAACTTCGAAAACAACAAAAGATATTAAAATTCAAACGAACAAAAGTTTGCCTATAGTGATTAACTTCTACAATTATTTATTCTTCACCATTGGTTTCTTCTTCTCCATTGGCTTCTCTACAACCTTGTTTTTCATTGTTGTTGTTGTTGCAGTCTAAGATATAAAAAGCAACAATGTAATTATAAGAGATACTATGATTAAGATATGTGAAGCAATACTGATTATAAAACAACACTTACTTTTTTTGACTTGTAATTTAATTCTTATTGGTGCTTTAACTCTACTGAAATTTGTCTGAACTGTATCTTGACTTGGACCGTCTGTACCTTGACTTGGCTGAATATACCACAAAAAATAAGTTAATATAGTGAATTAATTTATTGTGAGATTTGTATAGCAAATACTTACTCAATGAATTTCAAGTCAAAGCAGGGTCTCGAACTTTGGCTTTCTTGCCTTGCTGCAGAAGTAGGATTTCGAACTTGCACTGGAGCTTCCACTGGAACAACTCCATGTGTTTATGATCTCTTTCTCTGCATTAACATAGTGGAGATATTTCAGATCAATAAAAAAAAATAACATATATAATTGAAAAGACTAAACGAGACAAAATCAATTTACCTTTCTTGTATTGTGTTGTTGCCCACTAGTCTTCTTCAAATAATAGTCTTTACCATAATGTCTTTGTTGATGACAGAGGATACAAGTCATTATCAATCCTTGCCTTCCCAATTTTCCAATTTATGTAATGGTTTTTCATATTGAGTCTGCCTCTCTATTGGTCCATTAACTTCACCAGACCGTAACCTTCTTTTGTGCAACTTTAGTCTACCTAGCATATTTCAATGTTAGGAGGAAGTAATTTTGCCCCTGAGATCTTGATCAAGCACCGCTGCCCTCAATCGCATCTATCAGATGACTATACAACTTCAAGTAGGTATCTTTCTTATACCAATTTTCAACAAAATCTTCAGGTGTGTAGGTCATGTAATACATTGATGATATGGCATGCACAAAGGATGCCACTTAGTTTCCATCTCCTGCAACTACATGTTTTTTCATCTTTATCCACCTTAAGTATGTCACATAACATCCCTCCAATTTAAACTGATTACGCCCATTCCAAAGGTGACAGTTTCCGTTGATGGCTTTGTTTGCAATGACCATTACAAGAATCTGTGTCAAATGCTTTCGAAAGTTGGTTTGTATCTTGCCGGACCTAAATTCAGCCACGGTCAATTGTATGTTGCACTCTCAAGAGTCAAGAGTATATCTGACATAAAAATCCTAATCAAGTCTGAATCTGGTGGATGGTCAAGTGTTACTAGCAATGTCGTGTACAAAGAAGTGTTTCAGCGAATATGAAGGTATATATCTTAAATAATATTGTTTATTTATTTGATGTGTCTTTTTTGTCTTGTTTATATGTGTACATACTTTCTATGCAGGAGTATATTTGCACGGGTTTCTATTTTCTGGCGTATTCGATATTATCGAATTTTAAGATACTTTAATATAATTTTTTTTTCTCGCATTTATGTGATTGTTGTTTGATTAATAAGTTACACAGATTGGACTCGGAACACTAAAAAAATACAGGTTAACTATTCGATAATGTTTGATTTTACTGCAATGTTATCATCTACTATATCGAGTTGGATGGATAGGATGGCCCCGGGATTCAATTCCGTTAATTTTAGTTATCTGTAGCATTTTAATATGGAATACACCTCAAACG